GTGTGTGTGTGTGTGTGTGTGTGTGTGTGTAAAATAATTCTGAGAGGAGTGAGTCCTCCACCTCGCGGACGATCTTCGGGCGCAGAGTGGAAAGTAGTGCGCACGCGCTCGGCGGGATTAACGTGCGGGTAGAAAAGTGGCGCTGCTGCGGTGGCGCTCAGCTCCGGTAAGAGAAACTCTGCTCCACACTCTCACCTCACTGACGCTAACTTCAGGGAACTTGTGCCGAGGCGACCGGCGGACGCCCGGCGCCTCTCCCCGGGGGGTCACACTGGGGCGAGGGGCCGCGTCCGGGCTCCCCGAAGCGGGGACAGGAGACAGATGTGTGCGCTGGGCTCCGGAGCTGCTGCCGCCTCTAGTCTCCAGTATTGTTCCGGAGCCCTAATGGCGGACACCAGGCAGTGCTGTTCTCCGCTGGGGAAGGAGGGAGGGAGTTGACTTGCGTGGCGTGGTTAATCGCTGGGGTCGTACCCGGCTTTGAATCACGGCCCCCCCCCCCCCGGGGAGACTCGTGTGATCACCCCGGTGCTGGGCTCCGGTTGCCCCCCGTTGTTTACCCCCGCATGACTCTAATGTACACAGTTCATGTGATCCACTGCGCCAGGGCGCCCCCAGCGGCGGCCGGGCGTACCTGCCACTGATTGCGCCAGGGTGGACTCCGTGCGTGCGGTGCAACTTTCCAATTAAAACCCCGGCGTCACAGGTATCATACGAACCGGGGTTTCTAGTCCGGACCGCGGGGCAAGTGTGGCGGAGCGGCCGCGCGAGTGGTTCGAGGAAACACCCCTGGAGGAGCTGTGGGGGTGTTTGTGGTTGTTGAACGGTGCCAGGGGCTGCGTTGGTGTCACTGTGTGAATCCAGGCTATTTATACCCATTTGATGCGAATAAGTTGAGGTGATTTTTTTTTTTATTTGGTTGGTGTTTTAACAATGGCGCAGTCTGTGTCTGCTCTCCTCCCCCCGATCCGCCGCTAATCCAATCGCCGTTTGCGCCAGGAGGAGCAGGGGTGGGAACGGAGCGCAGCGGAACGGAACACCCTGAACCACGTTTCTCCTGGTCCGTAACTCGGGAGCCAACCGACCGAGCGACCCCCTCGTTTACCCGGGTTATTTATGGAAGAGCTGCGCAGCTCAGGTAGTGCTGGTTCTGTTTACTGCTGCTTGGTTAAAGTTTTTGGACCCGCGCCGCAGAGACAAGTTTTGGTGAATATTGCAGCCGGGGAAGAGGGGAGGAGCTCGGGCTAGGGTCGAGGCAAAGCCCCCCCAGCGGTTACCGTGTGCCTGGCCCGGATCTGGCGCTGTGGTGGTCCTCGCCGTGGAGCGCAGCTTCTCGTCGGGGTTGGTAATCAAGGGCACGGCCGGGGGGGACACCAGCCGGCCCTGGACGCTTGGTACAGTCCGTCCTTGTGTGCTGGTTTTCTAACCTTTTTGCAGATCAGCAGCTGCATGGAGCTCAGAACAGTCAGGCTTTACACGCAGCTGCCAGGTAACCGGACTGTGTGTTTGTGAGTGTGTTAGCCCCTCAGCTGGATTGGGGGGTAAGATGCTCCGGTGGCTGCGCATTACGCACCACTCCACAGTGACATAAGCCTTATATAAGATCATCATGCGTTTCATTTGAATTTGCTATTAGACATTAAATTATGAAACAGCTGCATATCTCCACCTTGTGGGAAAGTAAATGTCAATTGGCCTCCTGCGCCACCTGATGGTGTTGGATAGGTGGAGGAGGAGCCCCCATGCAGAGGTGATGGTCTGCTGGGTGTTTCTTGCACGGGGGCAGGCTCACCCATCTCCTCATCCACCTGGTTTTGACGTTGGTAGCAAGGTTGCATGTCAGAGCTCATTAATGCTGGATCCTCGTTTCCCCCTCTCATCCACGTGAATGCAGCTTGGCTCACAGCTCTGCATTGCAGTCTGAACCGAGTCTAGACCAGGCTATTTTTTACCTCCTCGGAGCCTCGCTTTGCACAGAGATTCCCTCCTGTCAGGCCCCAAAAAAACTGATGCATCTTTATTTTGCAGCAGCAGCACCCTGGCTTGGCTTTGGGGAGGTGTTGCACATGGAGCATGGAGCCTTTAGGTCTCCTCTCCCGTTACTTTGACAGCAGTTGACCACACAGGCTCAGGCAGATGTGTTCTTATCCTAACACATGTGCTTTCCAGATACATCCTCTCAAATAAAACTTTTGAGTTTAACTACACACACACAGATGGATTTGATATCCAATCATGTTTCTGAACAGCAGCGAACATCTTATTGATCTTGAATGTCATGCTGTTTTGGTTGTTGCTTCCTGTCACGTGACCACTGTGAGCGACTCTTCCTCTTCCAGCTTCAGCGTTTTACAGTCAAGACCCTGTTTACAGTCAGAAAGCAAACTATACACAGCTCTGGTTCACCGCCCGGCCTGACTGCATGCAGCAGTTGTGGTGTAGTATTATATTCAGTGTTTTCATTCAAAAGTACAGACCTGGAGGAACTTTTAACACAACAAAGTGACAGTTCATTTAGATACAAAAATGCATTTATGATAGAATTTAATTAAACTTTAATAGAAAGAAGATCAAATAAAGATAAACTGCATTTCATTGTACTATTTTTTTAGCAAATATAGTGACAGAACACCAATACGTCCTTTAGTTTTCCAAATATCATGATTTCCTGCTTCCCCTTATCTTACACAGCGGTCAGCTGAATATCTTGAACTTGGTTTTAGAGGAATGTTTGTTTCTCAGTAGTGATGCAGCCTTTTCTAATGGTCACCAACAATAGTGGCATTGTATATTAGTATGGACTTTACAGAAGAGGTTGAGTTTAACACAACAATTAGACCATGTTATTCTGAATGTATGAGCCTGCTCCAAGTGTCTTATTGCTGCTTACCCAACCTGCAAGTGTTTAATGTTTTAAGTTATATTTCTTTGAATCATCGCAAGTTCTTGTGCGTCTCCTTGTGTTATGAAAACAATTCATATTTCAGGATTTTGGCTTCTTTTTGTTAGTTTTTCATAAAAGAAGGTGTTTGGTAATTTTAAAGTTGGTGCTCAAAGACTTGCTTTGAGGTTGATATCTTGTAGCAGAGCATCTCTGTCTTTTTTAAATCAGGCCTCAAGCAAAGACATCCCAGGTAGTCTGCTTTTTTAAATGCACGAAGCAAACTAATGGAAAATAATGTCGTTTTAACTTCATGGAGTTAAAGATAGCTGTGAGACGTTACTTCTTAAAACACTGATTGAGACAAATGATCTCTGGACGGAGAAAGACGTGTCCCAGTTTGTGACCATGTGACGGCTCAGTGAACCCTGTGGGGAGGTGACACTCACCTGATGTCGACAGCACATCAGCTCAGGGGCCGACTGGGAAACACTAGATTTAAAGGGGCTGTATGTTGTTATCAAACCCTTATGACAAAGTAATGTAATTGACAACTAAATTATCATTAACTATGAATACAAAGAAAACATAAATCAGATGTGTAGAAC